TGGCCATCACATAGCTATGTCGAAGTTGTGACTGTCCATTTTCAATGCAGGCAGACAGTCAATGCTGTCGCCCATGCCATATTCGGCTGCTGTTTGCTGGGCATGGTCGAGACTTTGACGTTAAGCGAAAGCTCGTGTTCGTCAGCCTATCAGCGAAGAGTTTGGCTGCCACAGAGAGACATCTGCATCAATCGACTATTGGCTGAGAACCATGTCCTGCAGGGGGATCGTTGTCGCACTTGGCGTTCAGACGGACTCAAGCAGAAGGTAGGCCAAGGGGACACCAAGCGATATCGCAGAAGAGTGTCACTGCTCTGATCTGGCAAGTCTTAACGAAATGTGCTTGAAAAGAGCTGAAGGACAAAACTGAGAAAGCACGCTAAACATGAAATTGGCTAGCGTGGTTTCCGTGCAAGGCATTTGCAGCACCTGTTCTTCCTCTTCCACGATTCAATCTCCTATACCATGCTTACGGATGCTTGATCGCAAGGATTCTGCGAGCAGAATAGCTTGGCCGCGACCATTATCAGAGCACGACCATCGTCTAGCACTTCTATTGTATTAGGTCATGATCGGAAGTGCCACTGGACTCGCTCATAGAACACTGGCTGCATTGTACGCACTCGGACTCGATATATTTATTCTATACCGTCCTGCACGGATCGTAGCCCATGCCTTCTAAGTTGATATTCTATAGACTCAGATTTGCATCAATTTAACACCGTTCACCGACCCGTCTTCCTCCATCGGTTTCCGCTCACTATACCGATCACTAAACAAAGCAAAATGATCCCTCATAATGATCGTGTACTTCACGAACTCTTCTACACAATCGACCAGTCTCTGCCTGTTACCAGAAGGCATAAACCGTGACCCGCCTTCGGCATCGTCCACCCCAGTAAACTGCGTGTAGGCCTGGGGTACAGAACTCTGATTCGGAATGGTAAACATTCGCATCCAACGGCCCAGTATCCGCAGGTTATTGACCGTGTTGAAGCTCTGTGACCCGCCTGACACCATAGCAAGACCTAGCGTACGTCCTTGAGTCGGACGCACAGAGCCTGTGCTCAGAGGGATCCAATCGATCTGATTCTTGAATACGGCTGTCAAGTTTCCGTGCTGTTCGGGGCTGACCCAGAAGTGGCCGTCGCTCCATCGGCTCAACTCACGAAGTTCCTGGACTTTAGGGTTGTCGTGCGATTCGTCGTCTTTCACGGGGAGACCGCGCGGGTCGTACACCCGAACGTCGCATCCTAAGCGGAAAAGCATACGGGAGACCTCGTATGCGAGCAGTTGTGAGTATGATCGATTGCGCAGACTGCCATATAGGACCAGGACTTTTAGCCTAGATTTGGTAGTGACAATATCGTTGTAGGCCATCTTGGTCACCGTGGCTAGCTCGAGCTGACTGATCCAGTCCGTTCGCTGTATCTCGTCTGGAAGGAGGAATGGCCGATACTTCGATCTGACCTCAGGATCATCTTCCGAGGGTGGTATCGCCAGCGAGTTGTATGCGAAATGAGGGTCCCGTGGTGGTAGGTCGACCTTGCGCATGACGGACGTGTTGTTGAGATCTCCATTACTGGTCGCAATACCGGACACTCTCTTTATACCATGTGGTGCTTCATCCTTGCTCGATAGGACTGCTTGGGCAGTAGTCGACGCCATTCTTGATGTTCGAGTCTGCGCTTCGCACGACCGTACGAGGACAGGAGAAGAGTTGAAAACCCTGTTCCCAGTGGTTGACAAGCTTGAATGATTGCAGCAGGTAGCCCGTAGTCTCGATGAAGAACTTTGAGTGATTCTGTTACCCAGTGGCAACCAGGACCGCATACCCAATATAGTATTCTCAAATGCCCCGACCCAAATTCTGCGAAACCACCTTTCAGGAACAGTTAATAATTCGAGGATGCTCTATCGTGCGCACTGTTGCATGATGATAAATAAGATCGGGACATTTTCTCCCCTTCACTTAGTCACTCGGTCGTCGTGATTGGTGCAGGAAAGGGAGAAGGAGAGGAAGAGAGAGAGGCGTAAAGATGAGAGTGGGTCGTGCTTGCCCAACATTGGTCCAGAACTTAAATGACGCGAACCGATTAGAACACGCCTGCCAGGGCTCCGCGCGGAATGTCAACGTGGCCGCACAAGCAACAAGGTCAAGAACTGGTGTACCTCCCAGATGCGAGATTGAATACTTACAGACGTTCCGCAAATTCGCGAATCAACGTCAATATATCGACTAACGTCTATCTGGTAATCGCTCTTTGTACGGAACTGGCGTGCCCCCCAGTATCGACGTGAGCGGCCAGCTTGATATTCCGCGTGGAGCAGGGATTCATCATTCAAACGCTCAATTAATCCACCGGCTTCTCGGACATGGCAGCTAACTTACAGTAACTTAAGCCGCAAGATGAGCTCAGCTCCTCCCAGTCCAGGCGCATTAGAGCGTCAAACCCTTCGAAACCGCGCGAATCAGCGCAACTTCCGCTCCCGACGCCAAGAATACGTAAAAGACCTCGAGGCACAAGTGCGAGCCTACCAGGAAAAAGAAATCCTAGCAACCAAGCAGATGCAGGTCGCAGCCCGGGCAGTGGCAGCAGAGAACTCACTACTGCGAGAACTTCTAAAGTCGCAGCTTGGACGCGACGACCACGATATCGACGTGCTTCTCGCTCATATGCGTGGCGACAGCTCGGCTCCGCGTTGCAGCCACCAGGTTGAGATGGGGTCTGAATACACCGCGGCAGAGACGAACCAATCAAGCCATCAGCATAGATCTTGGAGGCCAAATACTACAGCTACTAGTACAAACAGCAACTCGAATATTATTCCAGAGTCTATCAGTTCGCATCCGGCGCCCCCCTCAACAGCCACCCTACCCAGACCACTCCAAACCTCAACCCCAGCTCCAACCCCCCGCTGTCCAACCCCCAAAGACTCCATATCCTGCGAAGAAGCCGCCACAATAATCTCCGGTCTCCGCCTCCAGCACGAAGACATCATCCGCGAAGAACTAGGCTGTAACTCCGCGAGATCATGCGAGATCAAGAATCTAGCTGTGCTGCAGATGATGAGTGAGACGTTTTGATGTTTTACTCAGCAGCAGCTGCGCGTTAGCTCTGTCAGTCCATCCATCCGGCAGGCGACTGGATAATTCATGATTTGTCCCGGGAGTCCACGTTCGTGGTCGCGACCGTGGACGATACCGTTGCGCTAGAGATTCGTCCGTCGGGCCAGACACCGGAAGATGGGGTCACAGAAGCGAGGTGTAACATGGCAGGATACCCTATTCCATAACGTGCACCAAAACTACACGAATTGATACGGTCGAGACAGTCAAACACTTGTCGATCACTCGCATATACAACACGTAATCTGTCAGAGCATGCTAAACTATCCACGGGCATCTGAAGCCGGAGCAAGGGAAGCCAGAGGTTGAATTCATCCAGGTCACAGAGTGGAGTGAGAGATGTTGAAGGTTTGAACCAAGGTCGAACTGAGGGCAACTGCAGACTTATCTGAAGAACATCAAAGGTAGGTTTCATGAAAGTCAAGAATCTCCGGTATACCAGTATGCCGTCTCGCACATTATCAACGAAGCGGGCAAACACACTGCCAGTGAGCAGCGCTTACGTTCGTTCCATACGGTCCGGCCGATCGCTGTCACGTGCTAAGCCACCATACAACGATCGTGGTGTCGCTTGCCTTCAGCCGCACTCATGACTCACGCTACAGCGTCACAATGTCACCTTCATACAGCCCGAAACACCGCATGAAGATGGCGTAGGGAGCCCGATAAAGGCTTGGATATAGTATGTGTTTATGGCTTCAAGAGCCCACACAATCACTAAAGCATAGTCCAAGCTGTAAGGCGTTGCAAAACCCGTTGTAGCAAGCGGGAACGTCCATACACCTTTTCCAACAACCATGGCAACCGGGGAACATCCATCGAGGCAGGTATCTATCGAGACACCTCGCCTCCTCCTTCGCGCAGCACAACCTGAAGACGCCGTCCGTCTACACGAGGCATTCAGTGACCCAGAGGCAATGCGCTATTGGTAGGTCCCCACCACCTCCCTTCCAAAATTCGTCTCATATACCCGTCAGGAGCTCCCCGCCGGACGCCGACCTCTCTCAAACGAAATTATGGATCCGGTCCATGATGGAATCACCACAAAACGGATTGACAGATTTCGTAATCTGTTTGAAAGATTTGTCCTCTCTTGATGAGCCGACACCGATCGGCAAGATAGGGATTTATTCCCCTCTGCCATCAAACGAGATCGGTTTCCTGATCGCCAGAGCGCACTGGCATAGAGGTCTGGGGCATGAAGCTCTCAGCTATATGCTAGAGTACCTGTTCAGCATCAAGTCACATGTGGCCCCAGAACCAGGCGCTCGTGCGCCGGCAACACAGAGTCACCCGAGAACGCGCACGGAACCTCTAACAGAAGCACATACAGTTCTCACATTAACCGAACGCAGCAGTGAATGGCGGTATCCGTCCATAACGGCAGACGCAGATTCCCGAAACAGTGCTTCTATTGGACTGCTGAAGAAGGTTGGGTTTGCGGGAAGTGGTTACCTCGAACGGAGTATGCAGATTGGAGGCGAGGGCGGCGAGTGGGTTGACAGTCTATATTTGAAGCTGGAAAGGGAGGCCTGGGTGAGTAGAAGCACGGATGAGCGTAATTGTAACAAAGGAGACATGCCGGTCTCGCGCTTTGTGCCCATGTCGACCCCAGTTTGACCATCGAGATTGCGGCCGCAATGCCAGACGGGAAAAGCAAACGACTTACCTTGAAATCGAAGCCCAGGAATGCAAGCACGCTTGCTGAGAAGATCATTGATCTGACTCGCGCTGAATCTTCCTCGTCCTACCACGGTCACAGCCAGATCATCACCCGATGCGAGCCCTGAACTCTCCATGCAATCAGAACAAAGACTCAAAAGTACTTAGAATTTGGCAAGGACATTTGTAGTCAACATCAGCAATGAAAGCCCTCATAGCGTAGTGGGAGAGCGTGAGCCTGTTACTTCGGCCAACAAAGGAGATGGGTTGTAATCCTTTGTTGTGTTCAGAAAACAGAAAAGCTTGAGGTCGTCTGTTCGATCCAGACTGGGGGCGTCTCTTTTTGCGGTTCATTGCGAGTCCAGGACACTAATATTTGCAAATAAAATGCCGTTCGCGGATACGCCAGTCGTGTCAGATGTTGAGTGGTTGGAAAGTAATGACCTGGTATCGATGTCTTCCTTAGTACCTTCCAGATGTATCTCAATATCGGGAAACCGACCGAGAGATGGGTGAGCCCGCACATGTCTGTTTTTCGAAAAAAATCATGCAAGCCGTTGTGCGCTGGATCAATGTGCCTGTTAGCGCCGCGAATGTGCCCGTGGCTCAGCAATGGGTGTACACCTTGCAATACCTTGGTGCATCTGACTGAACATGTTTTCCCTAGCGATTAGTATAGGCAGCACATGTGTCGTGAAGCCAGCCAGGTAGGGAAGACAGAAGCCTGAATATTTAGAGACCCACAGCTGTACTTTGAAACAACCAACTATCTGACCATCAAGTGTAAATATATCGAGGTCAAGATCAGGAAACGCCCACTTTTGTGAAAGGTGCGGCTGCATTCATTGAATCCTGTGGCTTCTGTCAGTATAGTGTGCCGGCTCTAGTGTAAAACATACCTCTCGATCAGATGCACGCCAGACGCAGTCTCAACGATGCCGCTGATCTCGCCTGGCTTCAGTTCAAAAGCAGCATCCTCGAACTCTTTCTGCATCTGACCTTTGCCGAAGAAGCCCAGGTCACCTCTCTTACGGGCACTGCTGCAGTCGGACTCAGAGGTAGCGAGATCACCCAGGCTTTTCTGACCAGACTTGATCTGTTGTTCATACCCCCTCAGCATCTCGACGGCTTCATCTTTTGACCTTGTAATGTTCTGCTCTTTCCAGCTGGAAGGCCTGCGGCTTCCATTGTGTTTGACTAGGAGATGGGCTGCTCTGATTTTGCCTTCTTGACTAGCACCGCCGTCGAGTCGAGCGTTGGATCCGCTGTGATGCTGTGCCATGTATATCTTCAGCTTTTCTGTGTCGGCGCCTTCAGGCGGTTCCCATCTTGACTCGTGAGTCTTGTGGTTGAAGTAGTATGGAAGATTCTTCGAGTTCGAGTGTCGAACCTCCCAATCCGGGGGTAGGCCAGTATCTGCCTAGCAGATTCATTAGGTTTGGCATGAACACGGTCGTGACTGCCTCTACTCACCATTGCGACTTGAAGTTCTGTTGGGATGATAGCTCTGGAAAGCAGATGATCAATAGTCTATCAAAGCTCAAGCTCCTCAAGATCTGTTTGACTCGCTTTGTGCTCCTATACTGTGTATGTTCCACAAGGCTCTGTTGATCAGATGTTCTGCTTAGAAAGGCAGTCTGGTGACTGCAGCGGGGTTATTGGTTGGATCGCGTTGGTTGGGAGATGACGGAACAAACAAAGCCTGAACCACGCCGGTAGACAAGCTGGGGCCGCGCTGCATGCAAGGAACGCTTAGGCGCCGCTCCTGCCTAGCTCCACGATCCACTGACGACCACCCGTGATTTTGACGCGAAACCACTGGTAAATGCGACAAGTCACCGCTCAGATCAACACTTCTACTTACAAGAACGCTGTCTACGCGGCTTTCGATCTACTCACTGGGATACTTCAACTGTACATCAACCAAGTTCCCAACCAGCCATCCACAATATTGGCTGCTTACAAACCATAAACGCAGACGCACTCTAATTGACCGCCACCAGCACATTCCGCAGAACTGCCTCATCGAGCCCGAGAATATTCAATTGTTACAAGTAGCTGGATACAGTTCTGATACAAGCTCGTGAGCTGTGCAACCGATCGTATTCTCTCACAATCTATCGAGAAGATCGTCAAAATGTCTACAGCCTCTCCTACAGCGAGCGAGCAGGGCGCTGGCACCGGCGAAATTGCATATAAATTCTGTCAAGAATGGTAGAAAGACTTCTGTCTATAATGGCACGGGAGAGTCAACTAACATGATAATACAGCTCGAATTTACTGTATCCCCGCGAAGATCGCCAACTAAACCAATTGCTCTACATCTGCAAGGCCTGCTCATCCGTTCAACAGAGCGAACCGGCATGCACATACCGACAAATCCTCAGTGAAGCCGCACAAGAGTCGATGGGAGAAAAAGCATATGTGGCCAATGATCCAACTGTGGGTGAAGACCTTTCCAGCTTCTGTACCATGTGCGGCAATTGCTTGAAATGCGCAAAGTGTGGAGAGCCCGATGGGGATGATTCCGAGCGTTCGCAAGAAGAGCTGGACACCTCTTCACGGACTTCATGACCTTGTTGTGCTTCGAGTTTGTTGTCTGCATTTTGATGTTTGCATTTGCTCTTCTGGATATAGGCTGACCTGGTTGGGTCTACAGCTGCCACACGAAAACAAAGAGTGTCCGAAATGTCATGAGAATGATGTCGTATACTTCCAGTCGCAACAGCGGAAGGGCGATATTGGCATGGTAAGCTCTTCTCCCTCTCGATAACTGGACTTCCCACTAACTCTTGACAGAGTCTGTACTATGTCTGCACCAACCCATCATGCAACCATGCTTGGAACGGAGCTAGTGAGCAGAAGTAGCGTAAGGCGTTTGGGATTCTGGTTCTCTGCATCTGAGGATGTTTGGCGTTCTGGCGAAAGCTGCTCTCGCTGGGCGATGACTTGAGGAGTTTGATGATTCTTCCATGAGCCTCCGGCATACAGATTTGGAAAAGCCCGCTGGGGCGAATTCCAACTTCGCAATGAAAAGTATTCTTCACCTTCACCTTCCTCTGTGTCTCTTCTCACTTCAACCTTAACCACCATAGCCTCAAACCACGGTGGGGATGGTATGCTAGACGTCGTGCTGCTGAGATTCATGCTGACCATTTCCATCATTTTGTACATATCTTATACATGCAGCGGTGCAAGAGATAGTATCTTGGACCACTTCTTATCCCTCAACTCGGCACCCACCACGCTCGTCAGACGCGTGCCTATTGGATCACCAGACTTGTTTATCAGCACGCAAGCATTGTCGTCAAATCTGATGTAGCTGCCGTCTTTCCGCTGCTGCTCCTTGTGTGCTCTTACTACCACGGCGTGCCGTATATCTCCTCTCTTTACTTTGTTGGCTATACTGAGACTGCCGCCTCCAGGGCCTTCCTGACCAAACGATCGCTGTTTCTGGACGACGACAATTATTCGATCACCTGTATCGTGTTAGACGCGCGCACTCATCTGCAACAATCCTTCGTACCAATACTAGCAGCCGGACGTATTCCTTTCTTCTTCATCACGGCTACACACTCGACCATGGCAGCACCCGAGTTGTCGATGCAATTCAGCATCGTCTGCGCCTCGTCAGTACTGCGGACCACATCCTCATTCCTGCTTGCCTGACCTTGAGTTGGATCATGGTGCGGATGTGCAGACCCTGCCTGCCGCCCGACTATTGATGACCGACTTGGATGAAATACAAGTGTCAACGGCGCAAAGATCCAATGTTCATGCAGCTCCTTTCGGTTCGAGGTGAATTGCATGCAAGGTCGCCAAGTTGTCCGCCTCAGTTGGTTATGATTGGACGACAAGGATTAGACCGGACCTCCACTCGGTGTTGTTGATCCCTCGATGCCACAGACGCAAGATAAGTCGCAAGTCGGCCAGAGCGGCCATGCGTCAAGCTACACCAACGCCAACGAGGGCTATGGCTCCATTTCCTCCCTCTTCTGCTGCCACTGTCACCTTCACTGCTTTGCTTCTTACATACATAGCCTCACTTGCATGATAATGGCTCTTAGCTGTTGAGCCGCTCTCCGCCTTTACCAATTAATGGATCTACTCCCATAGACTGGACAACGCTCTTTCACTACTTTCATCTTTGGAAAACACTAATGTCCGATCTACACTCGCTACTGCCGGAAAGTGACTCTACAAACGCGTAAATACTACTAAGCACCTTGCTTTTTCAGCCGACAGCCATATTTCCTAACCATCTCTTACTTCCTCCAAACTGTGGACCAACACCTCCTTACGCGACACATTGTTCACCAAAACTACCACCATACCATGGCGCGCAAGACGTCCAAACGGGCAGAGCCCGACCGAGAACACCGATTGACCCTCGCTGAGCTTGCAGGCCATGATGATGCTTGTTCAGACGCTCTGGTAGACAATGCTTACTACCGAGCGCAAATACGGAAGAACCGACCGAAGTACAATCCCTTGCGCGGCATTAAGGAAGATGAGGTTCCACAGATACTACTGCACAAGGTCATTGTCGCAAAGGATCCGACTGCCGCTGAGAAGGCTATACTCCAGCTCCAGGGCATCAAGAGGTATATGGCTAGTCACAAGAGCAAGGTTGTTAAAGACAACTTCGTGAAACACCTGCGCAAGTACATAGACATGTACAAGACCGATTGTCCTTGGGAAGTCTCAACCACAAACCGATACACGATCACCACTTTCGAAGCTGCCGTCACAGCACGAGCGAGAATAAAACAGAACCAGACCATCCCATATCTGGTAGGGACACTTGTCCCTCTCACAGCCGAAGAGTCGAATCAGCTCGATGCGACGAACAGAAACTTCAGCATCGTCTGCGCTGGCCGCAAGAAGGCCCAGTCCATCTTCCTCGGTCCCGCACGCTTCGCGAACCATGATTGCGACGCCAATGCCAGACTGGTGCCGAAGGGTAACGACAGCATGGAAGTCGTGGCACTGAGGAACATCGAGGTTGGGGAAGAGATTACTGTGTCATATGGAGATGACTATTTCGGACCAGACAACGTGGACTGCCTGTGCGCGACGTGTGAGAAGGTTGTAAGGAATGGTTGGGCTCCGATAACGAGCACGGAAAATCCTAGCGGAGCAAGCAGTCGAGCAGCATCCTCGGCAGCTTCACCCGAGAAGAACTCTAAGAAACGAAAGCGAGACTCAGAGAGTCTGTCACCAGTGTCATCCTCGCAACAAAACATCCGGAAACCAAGACCGCTTCACTCACCGTCAAAACTGCAACAGTCCTGGACACCACCAGCCACGTCAGAGTCGGAGATCGTGCACGATAA